TTCCTCGGGGAAGGCCACCGACCAGATGTGCTGACGTGTTCGTTGCACGGATGAACCAGCTGAACTGAGCTGGTAACGAATAATAGACCTGGACCTCGCGAACATCGCCGCCACACTTCAATACCAACATCGTGGATGACGCTAGCGAGAGATAGGAACGGATGGAAACAGTGCTGTAGCCCGCACGACAAGTGAAGACAGGCCGTCTAAGTATCTAAGTATCTAAGCATTCTATCTTGATTCGCTCTCTGGTTTTCTCTAACGCGAAGTATATTTTACAAGTAGCTGAAGGCTCATTTCTTCTAGGAATATATGTGTACGAGAGCAAAGGCAAGAAGAAGCTTAATGAAGACGCTATGAAGATTATTCAGAAGTACAAGTTGACACCTCCGGACAACTGGTACTTTTCAGCTCTCCTGAATTCCGGTTATCTAGTACTCAATTCTAAAATTTCTAGCTCATCAACAGAGGACCGTCAATTGCGCCTTGCCACTCGATTCGTCAATGAAGCATTGTTGTGCTTGGAGGAGGGAGTCATTTCTGGACCTGTAAGGGAAATTCCAAATAATTTAAAACGCATAGAACTATATCAGCTTGATGCATTGCATTATTTTGATAATTCCAGACCGATGGTGACATCGCATCCGTATTTGGCATTGGATTCCCACCATTTTGGGGTGGTCCATTCCGATTTGTGGATCTTTACGGAGCGAAAAAACTTGTGGACTCAATGAACAAATATGCTTCAGTGTACACCTCTGACCAGGTTAGCTTCCTTCTTTAGTTTTGAGTAGTTAGGCAAAATTTTATATTACGTGCCCCGTGGTACGGTAGAATTTCGTTTAGATACCGATTTAGCTCAAATTAGCCTTTTTGGCATTTTGTCGATTCTGGGCCCAGGGCCGCACAGTGCTTATTATATAAGGTGGAGCCGTAAAAATAGTTCTTCTTTCAGTTCGCTCCTTGTCAACTTCTGAAGGATCATGCACAAAGTGGAAAGAAGTTCTATCCTTAATTTCCCGAGGGTCATCTATAATATTACAGCTTCCTCATTAACGATTAATTTATGACTAATTGCGTATCTGCTCAAATTTTAAAGTGCTCTTGTTTGACACGATTCGGATTTTGATCATAGTATGCCTCATTCGCTTTTGTACGGTTTTCACAACTGCCTTGCTTATTTTTCACTAATTTCAACAATGTTTTACCAATTTGATGTTATGAAATCCTAGCAGTTTTAGTAATTCTTTGATATCAGGCTGCAGCAGGTTAGAACACAACGAGTATAAATGTAGTTCTGAACTTTGTTCATAGCACAAAATTGCTAAATATCAGAGCAGCGTGCATTACTATTTGAATATAAGATACTGCCTTATAAACCAGAACCATAGCAACTAAGGAAAGCCACAATTCTACACAACCAGCTTTATCTGGGCATTGATTCACAGGAAAAGACATTTCTTCAAACTTCTAAAGC